ATATAAAATAGAGTCTAATCTAAAAACGAATTATTTTCGAGCATTAGAAATAAAAAAGAAAATTAAATTTTTATCTCAAATATTATGTGTATGTTATGTATACGGACGGCGAGATTGGGAACGTAAGAGCGATAACCCTAACAACAGCCCAACAAATAATACATAATATTTTCATTTCTCACTTATAATTCATAATTTCATGAATACTTGAATACTGGCCTAAAATACAGTAAAGCTCTTAACGGTCTTTACCTAATTCTCAGGGATTCTCTGTTATACTCCTATCAAATGCATATCTCAACAAAATATCACTTTTCCTAAACAAAAATCATTTTTAATCATCGGTTTAATGGAAAATACATTTTCATGAATTTTGAATTTGCATTTCAGGCACAATGCCTACAACGGCTAACTTGATGTTATCAACGCGCAGACCAATAGGTATAATGGGTTAATCACATCACACCATACCATACATTATATGAATCCAACTATTTATACAGTCACCTAACAAATTATATTAACAAATATTAAATTCAATTGATGCCCTCTTCGCACAACTTTCAGTTTTGTTCCCTTTTTTCCTTTTATTTCCCTTTCGTTTGATGTTTGGCTTCATTAAACTTTCACGAAATTCATGCCTTCTTTTCTTAATTATCAATAATATTAATCATCAAAACATTTATTTATATTTTTTGGTCATTTCTTTACAAATCGCTTTCATTTTTAAGGAAAAGAAACTTCTTTTGCAAAACAGCTCTTCTCGTGATTTAAATCAAATGACTCTAGAATTGGGTTTACAATCAAAAATCAAAATGAGTTAAAATTCCTATACTATTCATTGAATCATCATTTAGGACCATTTAAACGGAAAGTAATCATTTGTTTGCGAATAATGGTTAGGCATTGAGTGCGGAAAAGTTCAACTATTTTTAATTCATATGAAAGTTTCATAAAAAAATCAAACGTTTGTTACTTTATCTTTACTTCTAATCTTACAGATGTGGCACTACTTTGATATTATACTGAACTTATGTAATAATATGTCATAAAATTTGTTCATTATATAACAAATTCAATGAGCCTTTCAATGAAATAGTTAACAAAAATGTAGTAAAATTAGCGGATATTTGTCACACTTTATGGCTAATATATGATTTGATTTCACAATAAATGAATAAAGTTGTGCCTAACGATAGAATAAATCGATTTGAATAGAAATGAAATGTAGAAATGAATCTTAAAAATGGAAATGTTTTGTAGGTTATGATTATGGTTGCAATCCTTCGCAAAATGATTGCAGAATTTCTTCTTCTTTTACTTCAATTAAATGATGAGAAGTGAAAGAAAGGACACACAATTTGGCACAACATATACCAGTCCTATCCCTAGCAGTTAAACAGTAATTATTTATTGTTTGTTGGCCTATAAATCCCACTTAAATGTTTACTAAACATCACATTTGAATAGAGTTGACACCTCTTATTAAAACATACAATGAGTCGACATTTAAAGTATACTGACAATGAATTATTAAACATCAAAACATAGCTTCAATTTGTTTCATATGATTGAAATTATTAATGAATACCATATATAACGCGATGTGAATATAATTGCCATTATTTCAATACAATTCTCATTGTATTCATTAAATTAGACACAACTCCTGTTTGGAGTGTTTCGCACATTCTTATAGTCTTATAGAGTTATACTTGAAATCAAATACCAAAAGGAATTCAATGTTAAGACATAGAAATAAGAGTCACATCATTATGCAAAACAAGTCTCATATCTTATTTTTAACTTTTAACCAATGATATGATCTTTGTATCTATTTTTTATTGATAGCTGTCTTGTAAGCTGTCGATACCGTCTCCTGTTTCTCAACTTTTTTGCCTTAAATATAGTTTAGGATAGTTTTCTAGAAATTTAATATTAAATTTGTGACCATTTGTGTATTACATGAATATAATAGTAATATTTATATTGAAATTTCAGTCAATCATCCATATTACGAATCACCAGTGGTTAGGAACCGAACTTATCTTATATACCAATTATACAGGTATTGAACCAATGATTTGCTCTCACAGTGAAAACCAGTGGAAGAGAAATATGATTTAGAAACTCATTGTGTGAACAGTTTTTAAAGATATAATGCATTATATTTAGTAAATTTAGTGAATAATGTATTTTTGTTGTGCAGTTCGCATGAACTGCATTCAGTTCATAGGCATCTCTCGTCACTTTCAATCGATTACATTGTTTTAGAGGCAAATTACTGCTACTCCCGGAGCGACTCCCGGAGCGGAAAATGTCGTCTCAATGACATCTGGAGAGTTGAAGACTTCCGATTGGGTCGAAACCATTACCGACAAGACGAGCCATTAATATGCGATCGACTATTTGCTGATCCGAAACCATTGTTTAGACGTGTTTTTGCCAATAATTACTTTCATGTCTTACTATTAATTAGGCACTAATAATGACATTGAAATCAACAGTCAATGACCCGACACTCTAACGGAATCGAGAATATGATTTGTTTGTCTAAAAAGTTTGTAGAAAACAATCACATCTTAGTGTAATGGCATTTTTGGGTCACCACTACATTACATTACCCATTGTAATGTATTCCATTACATTGGGCCCATACATTACTTTTACCAATAAAACAAAGTCTTGTTATTAATTGCATTGTTTCATAATTTTTTAAATAGGAATCCAATGAATTGATTTTGAAATTTATGTTGCATTCAGTGCTTGAAGTACTGCTCATATGTTTGACTCTTATTTTAAAATTAGATCCTTTTTTATTGCAAACATTAATACATAAATAATATTCATTTATAATACACTAGTCTATAATCATAATTATAATAATCAGTGCAACGAATAAATAACTCAAACATATTTTTTCAATTCAATTCAAAACCTAAATATAATAAAATATATTTAAAAATAATTTATTTTTCTCAGAGCTCTAAATATGAAAAACGATTTGCAAAATGAATGCAAATTGTGTTCAAAGAATTTCATTTGTTATACATTTATGTGAAATGTATTATTAGTTTGTAATCTATTAATTGGTAAAACAGTTAATCCATTAGATTTGATGACACATAGCTGTAGGTGCAGAAAGTTAGGTCTTCCCTAAACCAGATTTGCCCACATCTGAGCACAGGTATGAGTATTTTTGGTCAATTGTAGTGTTGGTGTGGAATGTCATCCATGGAAGTACTGAATGCATGCAATGTTAAGGCTAACCGTCTCAGAGACAGAGGGGACGAGGATATCGGTTCTGAACCACTGGTTAGCTATACGTCACAACTCTTTCTGAAAGCTTGTTTTCCGGGTCCTTAAACCTACCTGTGCTTCACCTGAAGAGTCAATACGAGTCAAGAGTCAACTGGAGCTGACTTTCGCACTAACACTACATTTGCAATGCATTGCAATCGTACGGCAATTGGAGAGAAATGCTAGAAATCCTGCTCTGACTGCCAAACTCTGCAAGACTGAGCTCAGGTAACCAATGGGACGGCATCTCAACTCAACTTAAGCCCAATTCTAGTTCCTTCTCATGTTGTTTACCAACTCTTGTGCTCTTATGTTCACTACACACCACTCAGGCATACAGTCTGTGCCTGTCTTACCACCACATGAAGACACACTTTGTCCCAAACTTATGTGAACTTCAATTGTAGAGCACTTCTCCATAAAGACTTGTGGTCTTCAAGTTTTTTGTGTTATTTTTCATGTTTTTTCTTTTATTCCTCACTTTACGCGACCATTGATTGCCTGTATATCAAAAACTATTGAATGACATTCACTGCTAATAAACTCATTAAAAGTTGGTTTTCGTATTCACTTCTAGTCATTCATTAGTTTTGAAAATATTTTGTTTCAAAATATATTGTTTCAAAAATGCGAGCATTTTATTGCCGTACCCATCGATCCCTCCAAATGGATTTATTGAACACTATTTTACTCATCATATTCATCACACATTTCACATTTGGTGAGTCTTTGTCTATCAAACAAAATTCAATTATATTTCTTAAGTTATTCAGTAATTCATGCCTTAATATTCGTGACATAAATATTATGTTGAATTATGTAATGATTGTATAAATTATTAGATAAGTAGTGATAATCTGTGTACAAGACATAGACTTAATGCACATCTCTTATCGCCAGTTCCTATCATATCAGTCGAGAAATCATTTGTTTTGTGTTTTTTGTTTCAGTCGACTCGTGCGGATACCCCGGGTCTCCAGCGCACGCCTCTGTCTCGTTAACTACCGATTCCATACGGAACGGCACTATCGCCACATATACTTGTGATAACGGCTACGAACTACTGGGGCCCTCACGCCGGACATGTACCGGAGCCAAGTGGGAACCGGCGGGCATTCCCTTCTGTGGTAAGTGTCAACCTTCCCTTCCTATACCCATATATGCTTACCCAACCCACCCATCCATTCCCCATATTATACCCGTGTCTTAACTTTCTATACCACCGGATATTAACTAATTGAATATATATTGTGACAAATAGCGATAATTATCTAAACATTGTATACAATGTATGCAACTGTAGGGTGACATTGAACTGGATCTCATTGAGCGCAGTGCCTGTCCTGTTATGTCCCCAACTTTGACAGCACTAGTACTCCAGTCTCCACGAGAATATTTTAGTCATTAGTTTGACAGTAATATCACAGATATGTGTGAAACTGTGCGGAAGTTTGTCTTAGGTTTTAAAATAGCTTTTTAAAAAATAATTGGAAGTGATATGTGGTGTGAATTGAATATAATCTGGGATTAAATGGATTTATAGCTATATTGATATTCATATCATTGTTTGTTTGATGTGTTGATCACAGGTTAGGAATTAGAGAGCGATTAGGATCGCACTGGTATTGACCCAAAACTGTTGCACTGTTTTGCTTCTTAAGCGGTTTGATATCATCAGATATAATGATTACTTGAATGTAGTTTATGGTAATGCATGGCTTGTGTTGGCATTATGTTGGGCTCGCATTCATGGCATACCTCCTCATACCTTGACTTGTTTTGATGGCAGGGCTTTACCCGAACTGATTAACTCACATGTATTGCCAACACTGGGGAGAGGGTTGAGATGTATGGGCAGAGCATCGCGTTTGAAATCATATTAACATTAACCTGATTAATGAATTATTAATCTCTCTTAATATATACTTGATATGCAAACTTCAGTTAGAATTAAACAATTATTTAGCAAAATATGTAATTATTTGTATTTTGCAAAACTGGGCTAAACTTAATACACTTACCGTATAGTTATTATGAGTATATTCCTCACGAAACATATCCAGTAAAGTGTAGTTTAAGGCAAACAATTTAATCGTTTTTACATTTGAAAATTGATTTTGAAATTACATTTATTAGCTTTTTATTAATTTAATTGAATTAAGTTTTTGTTATGAGTTTTGTTTTTCTACAAACCCTTTAAAATCATATTTAATGAAGTGAAACCAATTTAGATACTTAATTCAAACGTGGAGTTCACATTAATTAATTGAACTCAAAATCTTGAACTATATTTCTCGGTCTCTAATTACTGTTTCAGACTTTCCGACTCAATCCAATCGAAATGAGATATAATTTTGTCGATATTTGCATTTATTTATCTCTTAAGACACCAAAAACTGTGGCACAAGTCAGCGGCAAATAAGTTATCGCTTTTTGTGTGATATTCGCTTTAAAATTAGTGATGGATTATTGCTTTAGGAAATAAAATGTATTTTCTGTAATGCATTCAGCATTTTATGAAAGATTTTCTTTAAAATTTAAATTAAACCTCAAAATTATGATTTCGAGTCTAATCCATCAAAATTTCAATTAATTTTTATTTAATGATTAATTGCATGATTTGTTTATTTAATTTGGAGGTTAATCTCGAAAAAAGTTTTATGTCACAAAAAATAAGAAATATAAAGTTCATATTTCGTAAACATTTAAATGCATGTGTCTAAAATATGCTGTAGTTAATTATTGTATAGAAAAACATTTAATTCTTATCTGAAAGTTGTTATAAAATTGAAAGTAATTTATGAATTTTTTGTTGTTTAAAATTTCCGAAAATTATTCACAAAAACAAGAATTTATTGTTTTTTACGATAATTTTGTAGTCTTTTTGTGAACGCATTGATGAACTCGAATGCTATTAGATATTCATTGATATGAAGTTTGAATACCTGTCAGGCATTGAATCGGTTTTGAAATAACAGGTAAAATGTTTCCTAAGAAGAACTTAACTCTACTGTAAATCTGTATGAATCACTCGAATAGACATTTGAGATAAAGAGCTAATCATTTGAAAGGAAACAACTAAAAGCGATTTTCCAATAATTTGGTTAATGATCTCTTAAACGGATTTTATTATTTTTGGTGAAATATATTCACAAACATTCAATACTTGTAAGTCGATTGACATTAAAGCCAATTCCGGAATTGAGAATATTTTTCCAAAGATTTAAGGTCTCAATAATCCACGTCCTTTGAAGCAATTAATACATATTTTGGTGAAAAAAAGTTGTAAATTAATGGATTTGAAAAAAGCAGAAATTCCTGGAGAAGTGGAATGTCGTATCACCGGATGCTTTGAATAAATACTATCCATATATTAGAGGCGAATATAATTGAGTTTCTAAACTGGAGTTGAATGAAGTAATAAATTTGCTTTTCATTTGAATTCCTATGACTTAAGAAATTATATAATATTTTTTATTGAATTAATAGCTAATACTTATGCGAAAAGCAGTTGTGTTTGGCATATAAAACATATTTGAATGGCTGTATAATTATTATATGAGTACAATATTTACTGAAATATAATTTTTTATTTCACAAAACAGTGATTTGAGTGGAAGAGAGAGAGAGAGAGAGAGAGAGCGAGTGGTGTCTGCCATCGCCTCCAAGGATTTGGCGGTAATAGAGAGCCGGCACAGCCATACAGGCATACCTGTGCTCGCAGTTAGTGGAGGTTAGGGTCGTTAAACTGCTGCACATCCATGAGCTCTTGAGTTCAGGACGTCTTGTTTTGTAATTGGAAACGCATTTCTCATTACAAACCATTATTTTTGCCTTAAATACACTAAATATCATTTATATGACACAAAAGTATTTAATGAATTTATTTTTATGCACTCATGAAGATATGGTTTAAATAATTTATATTATTGTGTTTGTTGGTCAGCCCTACCAGTGCACAGCTTGCAGTGGCTTTTCTCAGTCTTATGAACAATAAGTCTTATGTCTTATGTTTGCATTGCTTTACACGAAATACACACTAATATGAAGCCATGCGTTACCTCTTCCTCAGCTAATCCTCAGTCAAGTACTTCATGAGTCATGAATTAGAAGAATACAGTCAGTCATAAGCCAGTGATCGGCACTTCTCTATTAACCAGGAAGTGAATGAATCAGTCAATCCCTACCTGTGCTCTTCTGTCAGTCTATGCATCAAATATTACAAAATCTATAGGCGCTTATAATCGTCTCTCATCTCTTTGCACCGATTTATTCATTCTATGAACCGATACTCCGATACCTTTCAAAGAGCTTTCATTTCTTAAAACGCTTTCTCATCCTTGACCTTACAGTCTCTCTCTCTCTCTCTCTCTCTCTCTCTCTCTCTCTCTCTCAAAAATATGCTATTCTTTGAGACTGAAAATTGAAAAAATTTCTTTTCACTCTTAATAATCGGTATATAATAAGTAGTGAGAGAGAGGGTCAGCCCTTTGTCGGCCGTAAATTGAGTTTAACGTCAAAACAAAATCACAATAACTGTTAAAATAACAGAGAATTGTTGTTCATTTGGTCTAATCTTACGGATAGGAATGGAGGAAATTATTAGAAAATTTTGTTTTGTTCATTCATTTCGACATTTATTTGTCTATTTATTATCTCTAATATTAAGCACTTGATTGAATGCCTAAACAATGGAATTGTGTTTTAAACAAAGTTTTTATCACTTTTACATTAAAACATTAAATGAAATTATATTAAAAGCGATGGTCTGTTGTCTTGTCGTTAACTTGTCTTAAGGAAGGAATCTGTGTTCAGAAGGTTTCGAAACAAAAGACAATATTATTGAATATTTAGCCACAGATTTATGATCGGAGAAGTTATGCAATTCAAGTGCTTATCACTGAAAAGAGGTTTTTATGCAATAATTATTCATCACTTGAAAGCAACTAATTCTCAAATGCCTTACACTTTATGAACAATGAAAGCATTAATTCCTAAACTCTTTTAAATTTATTGCACAAAAAAAACTTTATTATTCTTTAATCACGTTTACAGTGAATTTGATTTACAAATACTGTTTAGAAAATATTTTAATAATAAAAACGCTTTTAATTTGGGTCATATCGAGTGCATAACTCCCGCGTTTAATTTGTCATAATTATAATACAAATAATTGAAAATAAACTTAAAATTCCACTTTTTGTTATACAATATTACTATATATGCAATACTCCTAATACTAACAGTAAATAGCATTTTCTTATTTCGTAACATTTTATTTCAAATAGTTTTTTAATTAATTGCTTTTATTTTAAATTAAAATTTCTTTTCTTGTGTAAATTTACGACTTTTTTTTAATATATAGTACTGAATGTCGCGGTTGGAAAGGCAGCGATGCAATCATCAACCGTAGGACAGGGATCAGCTCAGAAAGCAGTCGATGGAAGTATGGCATCAAATAATTACTGAGATTTTTGTGCGATATTAAAAAACATATAATTTTGCAAATCAGGCACAAGTAGTTTCTATAACACCAACACCTGTACGATGACTGAGGCCGAGCGCAACCCCTGGTTCTACGTTAATCTTCTGGAACCAGTTCTCGTACAGGTATTCACTATTTGATGATTTCTTGTGTTATAATTAAATACAAAAACACTTGATTTGCCCGACAGTTGGTGCGAATAGACTTCGGTTCTTCGTGCTGTTCCAACAACAGACCCGCTGTTATCACAGTGAGGGTCGGCAACAACAGACCAGATCTGGGCGTTAATCCCGTCTGTAATAAATTCACCGGTTTTCTGGAGGAGGGCCGACCGCTGTTCCTGCCCTGTGCCCGTCCAATGCCCGGCGCTTTTGTTAGCATAACCCTCGAGTCGGCTGGAAATCCTCTATCGATTTGCGAGACTTTTGTGTACACCGATCACGGTATCCATCAATTGCTATGAGTTTAGTGAATATATTACTAATACAATGTGTTATTCAATAGCCCTATCGATAGAGCAGTGCCCGTCATTTAGGGACCAGCCTTTGGGCAGCACTTCCACATACAATGGGAAGTGTTATATATTTTACAACAACCAGCCCCTCAACTTCGACAGCGCCCGCAGATTCTGTGAAGTGAGAGGCGGTAGTCTTGTGGACGAGACCTCACCCGCACTGCAAGGCTTTCTAAGTTGGGAACTGTATAGAAGACACAGGAATGACCCCAACGGACAGTACTGGTTGGGGGCCCTCAGAGACCCTAAGACTCCGGCCAATTGGAAATGGATTAATGGGAAAGACGTTACGATTTCCTTCTGGAATTTACCGGCAAATAAAGATAATTGTTCCCGATTTGATGGCACAAAGGGCTGGCTTTGGTCCGATACCAACTGCAACCTGAACCTCAACTTTGTTTGCCAACACAGACCACTGTCTTGTGGTAAACCCGAACGGCCGCCAAACTCTACTATCTTAGCCCGAAATGTGGACATCGGATCAGTTATTGAATATCGCTGTTCCGATGGAAACCTATTGATTGGTCCCAACATTCGGACGTGTCTTCCAAATGGATTTTTTAGCGAATTTTCTCCGAAATGCAAATGTATTTAATTTTGATTCAATTATTACCGGTATAGCGTAATATTGTATTAATCGTATTGTATTACTTTTTTATACAAACAAACAGACCTGGAGTGCGGATTCCCTGCTTCTATAACTAATGGACAGTATATCCTATCCAATAACTCGCGGGCATATCTAAATTCAGTGAACTACTCGTGCAAAGAGGGTTACGTATTGGTAGGTCGGGGTAATCTGGTCTGTGATGTGGACGAGAGATGGAATGGACCGCCGCCCAGATGTGAGCCCGTCATCTGCCCCAACCCTCCGATTATAGCCAACTCTGTGGTCAGAATTTCTGCCAATAATACTATATTCGGAGCGATTGCTGAATACACGTGCGATGAGGACTACGAACTGATGGGAGAGTCGCGCATCATCTGCAATGTGGCCGGTTTTTGGGACGGAGAGCCCGGATATTGTCGAGGTATGCCTTCCTCGAGATAGAGATATAAGTATGAGATATAAGTATTAATATGTATTGTATTAACAGATAAGAGGCCGTCGTCTACCAGTTCCACATCGACCACAACTCGTGGGACAACATCTACGACCACGACTACACGTAAGACGACCACTACAGCGCCGACGTCTTCGCGCACTACACAGTCGTGGCCTATAATAGACCGACAGTTGCCTGCGTCCAGAGGCCCACAGATATCACTAATCCCTATCTCATCGACACCTCCTCCTCAGTCGTCATACATAAACACGAAGCGAACGAACGTCTATTCGACGAGTAGTTACAGTCCGACCACAACCACGACGACGACCACTACTCGAAGGCCGACACCAAAGAGTCGAACCACTCGTCCGACAATCTATAGGACTCAAGACAATGAGATAAATGACAGTCTCTTGCGATCCAATACCAAAGCGGCGACCGCTCGCCTCAATATGGGAGGCATTATAGCGCTGGCAGTGTTCGGGGGCTTTGTATTCCTGGCGGCCGTCATCACTATTGTCGTCATAATAGTCCGGAGGTATGTCTGAACCCTATCTTTATTTCTCTCTTTTAATCAAAACAATAGGCGAGTTATAACTCATTAACTTTCGAGACTATAATAATCACTGATTCTAACATGAAATGCATGGCTACCTGTGCTCTAACTGTTACTCACATATAATTAGCGTCACTTCAAAGAAGAGAAGCGCTACCGTCAGTGCTCTTTGGAGGGATAGTCCCGCCGCTCAGTCAACTTATTTGCCTAACTATTAACATGAAAATAGGTGAGCGGACCGCACAATACCCGGCGTTACCTATACTAACATCTCCTCTAACTTATTAACTCTTTAACCTCTTCTACACAACTGTGCTGTTAGAGTGTTGGGTCGGTATCAGATAGGGTCAGTTCAATACAATGCATGTGCTATGTGTTGGTAATTAAATTAAACGTGTTTATGTGAAAGTGTTTTGACACAATTTGCTAATGAAATGGTTTGATTTGTTTGTGGTGTATTCACACCTTGAATAGGTTGAAGAATAGTCACAATGCATTAGACGCTCAAACGATCAGCACATTTGACAGTTCGGGAGATAATTCTGGTTTCTATCACAAGTACGCGTCCGCCTGGTCTCAGCTCCAGTCCAATGGCATTCACTCGGGATCCTATAAACCTGGCTTAGCCCGCATCGACCCATCATATGATCATCACAACCACCAGAGGCTCAATAGGGGAACCATTAACGAGGGCTTCCGTGAGGCCAACGAAATCACTCTCAACGCAGACGTCGCCGCTCTATACTCGCGGCCCGACAAACGCTATAAGAGACCCGATCCGGACGGACAGTCCCATTGGCAGCACAACAGGAAATATTAAATTATGTGCAAAATAGGCTCTAAATTGGGTTATTTAATGGGGAAAATGATTACTAAAAATTGTTGTTTTGAGCGCTTTTTTGATAAGTTTATTTGAAATTTAGGTCTAATTTTTTAGAGTTTTTATCAAATTTTTATCATTTCTTTTATTTATCTCTTTTACAATGAAATTGTTTTTAAAATTCCTTATTTCATGTCATTTCTTATTAATGCCAACCAATCAAACAGATATATCGATGCCATCACAAACACATTCATTCAGATTTGTTGAATATTTTCGTTAATATTTCATTCATTCCCGCATTAACTTCATTAACATTTAGACATTCAATTGTCTCGAAATTTGTAAATAGTATTTAAGAGATTTTGTATTAAAACATTCATTTCATTTACTATTATAAGAGATTTGTCTTATCGTATAATATATTACAAAATCATTAACTGTTTAATGAAATTAATTCAAGCGATTTAAACTATTAATTTATTCAGATTTATAGTATATTCTCATAGTATTTGTCTTATGGTTTTATTGTATTATATTTATATAGTGTTTGCCCAAAAAGTTACAAATACTTTCGATCATATGATTATAATCTGTATTTTTGCACTCAGTGTTAAAAGTATATGTGAATTTTAACTATTAAATCAAAATAATTGTTGTAATCAATCGTTTATTCTTAACATTAAACGATTTAATGATTTTTTGCAATATTTGTTTTTGCATTAAATTCTGCTTTAATGAAGAATTCAATTGTCAACAAATAAATAATCTTTTAAAAAATCTATGTTTGTTTAATTTATTTAATGAATCTACAATCTATTCTTTGTTTAATAATTAATTGGTGTGAAAATAAATGTTTGTTTAAAAATAGCCAAAAGTTGCAATTTTCAACTAAAGGTTTAATTTAAGTAAAATAATTTTTACTCAACCTTATGAGTTGATAAAGAGCGAGATAAAGTAAAATATAAATTAAAATGATATGGCAATTAAATTATATAAATAGAATATAAGCTAAGTTTGCATATTTAAAATTGCACATAATTTGCCACATAAAATGAATTTAATAACATTTTGTCCGTAATTTAAACAACAATAAAAATATCTAAAGCAAAACGCAACTCTAATTTCTGAATAATACCCATATTTATGAAAATTATGCAAATGATTAAGAAGTAGTACTTAAAATACATACAGTAGTACTTTAAGAGAAATACTATTATATCTGTATAGTACTCATTCAAAGTCATATTATTAATATTTGTCGGCAACTGTAGGGACGCCCCCGACTCGGATCAGTTTGTCTCTGCAATCAAATGATAGTTCAAATGAATTAATTTTATGCACTCTTTGCTTAATGTCTATATAAAAAATTGGTCGCATTTTTAGGTATATAATTTTGTAGACTTAATATACTTTGAACTATTTNTATAGTAAATACCATTGAAAACACAATAGAATATTACTGTTAATACTGTACAGTAGAGTAGAATCACAAATATTACAGTAATGAATAATTTTGATGATATTAATATATTTTTAGTAACATTTCCGCTTTGAAAAGACATTTCTTGTTTGAAATAAAATAGGAGTTATGTTACCTTTAATTAGTGTCTCATTCACAGAGATATTCATTATTTACAAAATTGTCAGTCATTTCGAACCAGTTTTAAGTATTTCTCTCTTCCAGTCATTACTTAATGATTGTGTGATTGTGTCAATGCTTTTATATGGACGCAACTTATTAATTATCCCTTTTAAACATTGGTTTGTATTTTGTAAACATGAAATCTCACCGAAAGGTCATTAATGAGTAAATTGCGAGAGTATTACAAATTCCTATCTCTTCATTCCTCTATGAATTTGTTTTTACATTAGACCGCAAATTAGATTAAAGCCCATCTCAAACATTACAACTATTTTTCAATATCTTTGAAAATATAATGTTAAATACGGTATGAATAATTGCAAATTGAAAAGACCTAGAGGTTAATACATTAAAATAACACTGAATAATCAAACTATTTATGCATTAACCTTTAAGTCTATCATTATGACATATTATGCTGAATTTAGTTTCCAATTATTCTGATAAAAAAAATTTTTTATTTAAAAATAGATGATTTATTTTTAATATCTATTAACTTAGGTAGTAAAATAAAACAAAAAATCAATAGGAAATATAGACTTATGCTATTATGACTTATATTTTATTAGCATAATATTTTATATTAGTTATTTTATATTAAACAAATATTTGATGAGATATAGAAATAGAGAATTTCCTTTTTATCGGTGCATTTATATTAATGCCAACAATTAAAGTAAGTTATACAGAATTATAATGCACTTATAAAATACTATCTAATACAGTATTACAATAAAATTCAAGCCTAAAATACTTTACTTTATTGTGAAAAATGTTTACTCATACAAGATTTTGTGATAAAATATTTTTCTTGTTATAAGCAAATTTCAATTGTACTCAAGAATTGGTCTCAAATTTCAATATTAAATACTCGATAAGTATATCGTTTTAATAGTATATGATTACAATTCATAATTAAATAGTTTACACAATTATTTACTATTTTATTTTAAGCGATATTTGAAACTAAAATATCACTTAAAATAATACATTGATTACAGTGTATGCTATGAAATTCAAGTGTAAGTAATAATAATTATACACTAATTTTTTATATAAATCTTAATTATATTGCCAATTAATATATCTCGGTTTAAATTAATGATTTTGTTTTGAAAGTAATAATTAGAGGAATTCTTCAAACTTATAAGGAAAGGAAAATTGCTTATAAATAAAATTTGGGAAAATATGCCTAAAGTATCAATTTATCCTGGATTATATTTATCACTACAGTATTAATATCATGCAGTAGTGTAGAATTTGTATTACTATAGTACTGTTGTACTGCAAAAAAGCTGCGATAAAAACTGTATTTAATAAATAGTGAAAAATAATATACTGTAATAAAAGCAAACATTACGTAAAGCACACAACAGATGGCATAAACATAACTAAAAAGTATAATAAACACGAAAATCAAGTTTTGTTTTGTTGTTGAGTACAGTATAACCAAAAAAGTAATGCTATAATCGCATAGAATTAGTATTGAAATGATAGAAACTCTCATCCAATTGCCTGTATTTGATACACACATTAATTAGAGTTTAATGGCGTTTACGCTAAGCTTTAATTGAATTAATCAAAAGTTATATATTTTTCTAATTTATTTGATATCTATTTATGAGACAAAGTATTGTCAAACACTTGATGTAATCAATTGTCACACAAATGCCATTGAATTAGATTTTGTTCACAAATTGTTGTTATATTTTGCATACAATTAGTGAAACAAATGTTTGAATCCTTTTAAGGATTGAATCCTAAATACGAGGAAAACATTTGTCTAACCATTGGTTTGGATGTTTCATCCACACTATCACCACATTTGCATCAGTTCTTAGACGCTTCCACACCTCTGATGTCCACTAATGCCATGACTTCAAAGACCATCATTTCTTGGGACTGAGTTCGAGCTGAAATCCAGTGAAAGGTATCCATTGATTGCCTAATCATTAAAACTCGTCTATCGATGACCTCTTTTCTCATAACTCTTTGCTGAATTGTGATTCAATGGATGTATTGATAGCTGCAAATGCAGGGAATGGGAGCCAACTGTCGACCCACGGGTGCCACCAGTCAGATGACACCCATTTGGACGGCAATCTTCGACTACGAGGCCACCGGTGATGACGAGTTGTCTTTGCAGAGGGGCGACAGAGTGGAAGTGCTGTCGATGGACACGAAGATCTCTGGCGATGAAGGTATGTCTCATGTGTTGAGTCAGTGATTGGATAACAATGTGATGACTGTATGGAAAGGCTGGTGGACGGGAAAGATTGGACAAAGAGTGGGCATATTTCCGTCCAATTTCGTGATCCCTGAGAGGAGGTGTCCGTCCAATGAAGCGTCGGTTTTGCCACAAATCTGCGAAATAGATTTCTCTCAACTCAGACTCCAAGAAGTGATAG